GAAAGACGGCAGTGAAAGACGGCAGTTGGAGGAGTCTGGAACCTACAGGTGTAGGACGTGAGCGACTCGCGGGGTATCTCCGACAACATTTACTCCGGAGAGTTTCGCCCGTCCGGCACAGCTACTACTCAGTTGACGATTACTTAAATGACAAAAATAAACTTAATCAATGTTAATTTTTATTGTTTATGTATTGTATAATTTTTAATGTAATTTGTAGTGTATTATGACATGAAAAGTATTTAATTAATTTTTTAAATGATGTTTAAATTTTATCGATTCTAATTTTAATTAAGTAAATCCATGTAATAAATTTCGAGTACAATGGAATAAATGACTATAACTATGACTATGACTATGTAGTATTCTAAAGAAAGAGTGCAAATTTTGTAAGTTTGTGTATATGCATGGACGTATAAATAAGACGTATAATATTTATACGTCCATCTGTATATGTAGAAGGTAATATCCGGAAAACTGCATCTATTTGAAAAATTATTTCACCATTTGAAAGGTACATTATTCCAGATGGATAAAGGCTAATAATAGTATGTATCATTATGTTTACATTAATAAAGTTAAGAAACTAAAAGTTAAACTAAAAGTTATGATGATATTCGTCAACTAAGTCGGATAAAGTCTTGCCTCTTGAGAGCTTTAATGGCGTCCGCTCCGTCAATAGTTGAACGAAAGTAGAAAAGTTCCACTTGAAAAGTTGTAAAAAAAAATTCCGCGTTGACATATGTCTATCTTTTAAGGAGAACACACTGAACCATCATTTTAATATAAAAACTCTTGGCAAAATAGTTATGGTGGCGGTCGTCGCGGAGGTGGCATGTTGGTCTCTCTACGACAGGAAATGAAGAAAAAGGAAACAAAAAATATGATATACCTTGAATTTTTGAAATAAAGGTCTGACTTCTGAATGTCAAGTTTTGGTTTCTTCTTTTGTAGAATATAGAGCAATTTTTCGAATTTTAATAAAAATTACCTACTGATTTTTATATAATTTTATTATAAATTACAATCACAAAACCTAATATTTAGGATATATTAGAGTTGCTCAAAACCAGGGTTAGGGTCAGTTCACAACGAGACGTGGCGATGCTTGAAGAAGCCAGAGGTTTTGCACCGCTTAGCGCGCCGCCGCGAGACGCATCGCGACGTCGCGAGGTGCTTCGTGAAGTCGCTCGAGGCACAACGCGCTACGCCGCGAGGCATTACGAGGCGCAGCGGGGCGCGACGGAGTGGGGCATTTTCAAATTATCTCAATAAAATTTGTATTTTAGTAAATAAAGTTATATTTTCTATCACTATCTTAAAAAGTGTGCGCCGCATCGCGTCCCTTCACGTCTCGGTATGAGCTGACCCTTAAACTATAAACTACTAAGCTAAATCTCTAAAACTGATTTTTTTTTACTTAATGGCTGTCAAACAAAAATGTAAGTCAAAGATTTAGTGATGGTCAGCATTTGTTGTAAAGATGGCAATTCTGGCGATTGGGGAATTTTTGATCTTAGACTTGATCGGAGACTCAGGTATATTCGCCTTGGCATTCTGAAATTAAGCTTTGACACGAGTTCTGGACAGTATAGGTAGTTTTTAATAATTTTAAATAGAAAAACATTACATCAACCACATCTTTTCGCTTATCTAATGGCAATTTTGGCTATTAAAGAATTCTAATGACTTATAGTACGGAGTGCGATACTGGCGTTTGTACCTTTTTTAAATTCGTTCATTAAACAGATACTTGTTTCTGATGATGTTTGTATTGTTAGCCCTTTGGCTTTTGTAGCTTCATTGAACTCAGGGCAGAATATGAGACGGCATACTACACTTCTGTAATCTAAAATTGAGCGCATTAGACTGCAGTAGAGCATATGTTTTTATAGGGTATGGGTGACAAGCGAGCACATCTAAATCTATCCTCGTTTGCGAATTAAAATGCAGATGCGTGCTTACCCGTGAGAACTAAGATGAAGTTCCTCGCTTCCAGAAAATATCCCCGGTTCTATACACTCGCCATACGAAACACAGCAGCGTTAAACTGCTATTTTACGCTTTTATTCTATGAGAGTATGGTCCTTCCTCGGTCGAGCCATTCGTGCTAGCAGCATGGCTCTACCTGGGTGTTCCTTTACCGAAAAAATTCTTTCACAAAATTCACAAGCTTTGCGAGAGCATACTGCTGTGTTTCGTACAGTGAATTTAGAGAACCGAAGACTCTTTTTACCGGAAACGATTCATTGTATCATAGTCCTCAGGGATGACCACGCATCTGTATTTTGATTCTTGCTCCAGGATAGACTTAGCTCGTTTGTGGGTGACAAACGAGCTAAGAATATTCTATAAAAATGATCAATTTGATTGATTGACTATTTATTAATGCATTTATGAACAATGAGTATTTTACTGCTGTTGTAGCACGAGAGCAACCCGTGTTAGATTTTTGTTCCAAAAAAAAATATGTATTACAGTTTTAAGTGCTAATTTATCACGTGATGGCGATAAATGAAAACTTCGTGAAGAAACCTACATACCTGATGAATAAAATAATGCGAGGGTAGTAGAAAATCTGCCAATACACAGTACCGTACAGTGGTGGTGTGAGAGTATCCCATATCGTCCCGTGGGTGTCGTAAGAGACGACGGGGGAAACAAACCAGAAGATGGACAGCAGCGATTTTCTAACAGCAACTAAAATAATTTAAAATTAAAAAATGTGTATAACCGACTTCAATATAAATTATTAAGAATAACTCAAAAACTGTTGTAGAGCCACGCGGCAGCTTTTGCTGTCGCGCGGATGGACCGGCTCGAACCGGGGTGGTACCACGACCTCACAGAATACCAGCGTGAAGTAGAGGTTTACTTCTGCGTTTCGCTTGGTGAGTGCAGGTGGCCGGAGGCCCTTTTTACTGGAAATGATGCATTCCATCTTAGTCCTCACGGGTGACAACATATTATATGCATTTTGATTCGCAAACGAGGATAGATGTAGATGTCTATGGGCCGCAGCAACCACTTACCATCAGGTGGACTGTGTGCTCGTTTGTCACCCTTATCCTATAAAAAAAACTGTTGATCAGACCTTAATCAAATTTATATGGGAGTGGTCCCATTATTGTGGAATAAAGCACCAGCTTTCAAATAAAAACAGAATCATCGAAATCGGTTCACCCAGAAAAAAGTTATGAGGTAACACATATAAAAAATATAAAGTTGAATTGTGTACCTCCTCCTGTTTGAAGTCGGTAGAAAATAAAAAACTACAGTTGCCAACACGCCTGCCAAGCATGATAACTATGGCAAATATCCTCCTATGAGGCTATCAATAGCAGAGGCCCATGTTCAGCAGTGGGCCTTTGATAGCATGTAACAGTAACGGCCAATACACACTGGAGAAGCCTGGTCAACTAATTGCTTCGTAACCCTCCCAGAAATAAGAGGAGTTTTGTGCCCAACCGTGTGACGTTTTTTTTATAGGATCGAGTGACAAGCGAGCACACAGTCCACCTGATGGCAAGTGGTTGCTGTGGCCCATGGACATCTACATTTATCTTCGTTAGCGAATCAAAACGCAGATGCGTTGTCACTCGTGAGGACTAAGATGGAATGCCTCTTTTCAAGTAAAAAGGGTCTCCGGTTGTCTACACTCACCATACGAAACACAGCAGCATTAAGCTGCTATTTTACGTTGGTATTCTGTGAGAGCGTGGTCCTTCCCCGGTCGAGCCGACCCATTCGTGCTACAACTATACTACTAATACGAGTATAGCTGCAGCGTGGCTCTACCACGTAAAAAAACGTATGTAAGTTGTGACTTTACCTGAATTTCAAATATTTATTACTTAGGTAAATTAAACATATTTGTGACATTGCCGGCCTCAAGAACCAAACTTTATGATTTTTCTGTTTATTTCTATTGTTTACATATATGTGAATAACAGTTGCTATGACTATGCTATGTAGTAAAACACATTAACCATTTCTGGCGTACAAAATGCCACCGAGCAGCGTTAGACTCTGTGGAGAGACGTTCTAATGGACTTATTGGTAACTTTGATTTGGTTGAAACCAATCTTGTCAGCGTAGAGCACAGGCGCAGATTAGCCAGCCTCTTGGTATTCTATTATTTCGGAAAGTGTGCACAGGAATTAAATGCTTAAATTCCTCGCTACCCTCCATCGGAGAACCAGGTGGTTGTTAATTTTCTGCCGACTTCCAAAAATGAGCCGCTACTCAATTCGACTGTATGTTTTTTTTTGTTTTTTTTTTATGTGTGTTACCTCAGAACTTTTTTCTGGGTGAACCGATTTCGATGATTCTTTTTTTATTTGAAAGCTGGTACTTCTCGTGTGGTCCCATATGAATTTGATCAAGGTCAGACCAATAGTTTTTAAGTTATTCTTAAATAACTTATATTGAAGTCGGCTGTACAAAATTTTTAATTTTAAATTATTTTATTTTTTTATTGAACAACAGCTTTTCCCGCGACTTCGTACACCTGGATTTTCGTTCCCCAACGATACTATCTTTTGTGCAATTACTATACGGTATAGTAAATCGTCATCATCATCATCAGTCCGTAAAGATCCACTTCTAAACATTGGCTTCTCGCAATGTAAAAAGTATTTGCCGAAAGAATTTATTGAATATAATTGAAGTTGATTTATAAAAAAAGAAACATGAAAACAGCATAAATTAAAAGAATAAAATATATTAAAAAAAACGTTTTATCGTTTTAAGATTCTCTAGATAATGTTTTAATAATTACGTCTAAGCTACTTATACAAAGAAAATCTCGACGGCCTTGATGTCTCTAAAACTGCAATCTGTGTTCTATGACACAATTCGGAAAATCCACAGATGTAATCCCAAATGGCATCATCGCATAGCGACAGAGATTTACAAAGTGATTTTGATAAGGTAGTCAAAATGGTATAAAAGCCTTCAGATTCATCGCCATTACACAGTTGAGATAGGACGCAGCCAAAATGGTTTCTGAATTCCGTAAAAAGAAGTATCTTTACCTATTCAACGGCTTAGACAGCGATGCTAGCGGAACAATTGAGAAGAAAGACTTCGAGAAGTCAGCAGAGATGATGGCGAAGTCTGCGGACGGGAAGGTTAACGATGCCAAACATAAAGAATACCTCGACACGATGTTGAAGATCTGGGACGGGTTGCAAAGCCAAGCTGACTCGAACAAGGATGGAAAAGTATCTGCTGACGAATGGGTTGCATTGTGGGACGCTTATGCAAAGAATCCATCAAGTGCTCATGATTGGCAGAAATTGTACTGCAAATTCTCATTCCAACTTCTAGATACTGGTAATGACGGCTCAATTAAAAGTGATGAATTCGTCAAAGTGTACGAAATTTGGGGTTTCGATAAAAATGACGCTGTTACTAGTTTCGAAAAACTGTCAAAAGGTAAGGGCAGCATTTCTTGGGCAGATTTCCAGGAGTTGTGGGAGGAGTACTTCAAAACTGAAGATGCCAATGCGCCAGGCAACATGCTTTTCGGTTTCAAATGAAATTAATAATATTTTATTTATATTATATTTGCAAAGGAGTAGCAAGTTTTGGTTGTAATTTAATTTATTGTGTTGATGAGACTGTGTAAAAATGTGCTTCATGATTTAATAATTATAATGTTATAAAATACATAATAATTTTAAAATATTATTTGTTATTTTAAGCTCCTTTGTACTCCAAAAAATACTGTCGAAAATCATCCCCTACTCTGTTAGTGCAAGCTTAACGTCTCAAGAGTAACTGCATATTAATGCAGTTTACTGCTGGGATATGGTTCGTTTCGGTTATATACTCTCTGTTACCATGCTTTCCATCGAAACATGGTTCGGGCAAGCCATAGTATAGTAGAATAATTATTACCGACAGATAAAACGAAATCTTGAATATCTGTTAAACATATCAATACAAAAGACTTTCCCCAAGCTCATCATTAATTTCGAAAAGCTCTTCTAACAAATTATGTTGGTATTTTTATCATAAATGAACGTCATCACACAGTAAAGTTAAGTAAAGTTTTTGTAAAGTGTATGTTGTATATATTACATATATATATATATATATATTACATATTCATACATACAACATATATATATATATATATATATATATATATATATATATATATATATATATATATATATATGTAGATGAACCGATTTCAATATAAATTATTCAGGATAACTCAAAAACAACTGGTCACACCTTGATCAAATTTACATAGGACCACATGAGAAGCACCAGCTTTCAAATAAAAATAGAATCATCAAAATCGGCTCACCTAGAAAAAAGTAATTATTTAACACACATAAAAAATACAATCGAATTGAGTACCTCCTCCTTTTTGAAGTCGGTTAAAAAGTGAAAAAGCTTATACCCTATGTCACATCCTCACCTAAGACAAATCTTATGAAACCCGGATCTTAAAACCAATCGTGAATGCCACAGCGGTGCAAAACAAAAAAATAACTACACTCGAAAAACATGAGCCTCTGAAAACATGATGCCTCCTTCTGAGGCAGTTGTGTAAAAAAACTTTTTGAATTGGAACATTATGTTATATATATTAAGTATGGTCCGACTTGTTATAGATGTTACTTCACCAATTTGCTTCTATTTGTTTCATATTATTTATCAAATGAGAGGAATTTTTATCCAAACCTTCCAGGACGAGTATAAGTACATTAAATATCCGGCAATATTCCTTTATAGTTGGCGATATTGCATCCCGGCACGACCTCCATAAATATAATTAGATTAGTGTTAACAGGACTGCATTGCAGTGCGAAATTTGTTGCGCGCCGGAAATGTTTGCATCAATTACTCTCTCGCTTCTGTTATTTCTTGTTCAACAAAGATAAAATTATGTATTTACATAATAACGTTAAGGAGAGAAACGTTAATGGTTTTAAACCATCAAGACCATATAAAAATCTAAATTTCTCCCAAGCTAGAAACGCTTAAATTCTAGTTATTATAGTCTCCTTCTAAGCAAATAATGCTTGCGCCAAACACCACTCTTCCGTGGCTGTTTATTAACTTCCTTCTGCGTAGCATTGAAAGGAAGTTAATGGTTTTAGCTGGCAGTCTGTTAGTCTGTATGCCGACACGATAACTTCCGTTCCACTGGACCGATTGACTTTAAATTTGGTATGTACCTTGAGGTAGTAGCTCGGTCGAGTTTGAATTGAATTGAAAATTGGGTCCTGTAGCTCAAAGGGCACCAGAGATATGGGATTCACGCAGAAGGAAGTTGTTTTTCTTGAATTTACATTCAACTCGTTCAACATACGAGTATAACAAAGGTTATAAAAATTACTTTCATAATAAGAAACAAAATAAAGGAATATAACTAAACATCGCACATGCACATGCACAAATATAACAATGTGTGCGTGTGCGTGAGCGTGAACTTTTTCGTGTGCGTTGGTGTGTGTATGTGACCGAAATTCGGTCAAATCGGACATTATTATATTTAATCCTATGATTTCAATGAGTTTTTCTATTTCCTATATAAATTAAGAGGTTTTATCCACACAGTCATATCTTTTTGATGTTTGGATTCTTATTATGCAAACATTATTTTAGTGTTAGGTACGTAATACATAATATTTTCTTTATATTTACAATACTAGCTCTCCAACCCGGCTTCGCATGAGTAATTTCTGGATCTCGACAACAGCGCCACTTACCGGGTGCAATTGTGAATCTAAATCATCTAGAGACCCCTAAAGCACACACAAAAAAATTTATCAAAATCAGTCAAGTAATTTTTGATTTTTAGCGATACTAACGGACAGCAATCTATTTTTATATAAGTACTAGCAGTTCCCCGCGACTTCATCCGCGTGTAATTAAAGGTTTTAATTTTTTTGCGCGGTACCCTAATTATTTTTCTAAAATAAAAGTAGCCTAAGTTACTCCTTATAACATCAGCTATCTGCCAGTGAAAGTCCCGTCATAATCAGTCCAGCCGTTTAGGAGATTAGCCAGAACAAACAGACAGACAGGCAGACAGACAGACAGATAAAAATTTTAAAAATTGTGTTTTTGTTATAAGTAACGTATATACTTTCATATGCATGTAGTATATACGTGGTAGAGCCATGTTGCAGCTATATTAGTAGTATAGTTGTAGCACGAATGGGTCGGTTCGACCGGGGAAGGATCACGCTCTCACATAATACCAGCGTAAAATGGCAGCTTGACACTGCTGTGTTTCACCCTATCCTATAAAAAAAATTTATATGCAAATGCGAAATAAAATATACATTAAAAACGGATAGTCCCCGGGCGAGAATGGAATTACAGCGGAGCTTTTGAAAGCGAGTGGAAAACCTTTACTTGAAGTCCTTCAGAAGCTCTTTAATTCCGTTCTCCATGGTGGCACTACTCCGGAGGCGTGGAGCAGAAGTGCGGTGGTCTTGTTCTTCAAGAACTCTCTCTTGAAGAACTATAGACCGATTTCCCTTCTGAGCCACGTCTACGTTTTTTTTGTTGATATATATGTTTTGTTTTCGAGAGACATTACGAATCGTCTCGCACGCAGACTTGACGACTTCCAGCCTCCCGAACAAGCCGGTTTCCGAAAGGGCTTTAGCACCATAGACCACATACATACCCTTCGGCAAATTGTACAGAAGTCCGAAGAGTACAATTTGCCACTATGTCTGGCGTATGTGGACTATGAGAAAGCCTTTGATTCCGTCGAAATTTGGGCGGTGCTGCAGTCCCCTCAGCGGTGCCAAGTTGACTGTCGGTATATCGAAGTGCTGAAATGTTTGTACAATAGAGCTACGATGGCTATCCGAGTACAGAATCAGAGTACGAAACCTGTCCAACCGCAGAGAGGTGTAAGACAGGGTGACGTTATATCCCCGAAACTCTTCACCTCTGCTGGAAGACGTTTTGAAGCTGCTGGACTGGAAAGGATGCGGTATTAACATCAATGGCAAGTACATCACTCACCTTCGATTTGCCGACGATATAGTCCTTATGGCAGAATCGCTGGAGGACCTAAGCACTATGCTCAATGACCTCAATAGTGTGTCCCAACAGATAGGTCTTAAGATGAACATGGACAAAACAAAAATCATGTTTAACGTCCACGTCACACCTACGCCAGTAGTTGTTGGGAGCACTAAGCTCAAAGTTGTTGACGAGTATGTTTACCTGGGACAAATAATCCGACTAGGCTTTAACTCGGCTGGGCAGCGTTCGGGAAACTACGACACATCTTCTCGTTAGACATACCTCAAAACCTTAAAACGAAATTGTACAATCAATGCGTGTTGTCAGTGATGACTTACGGATCTGAGACGTGGTCCTTCACTGCTGGCCGTATGAAGAAGCTCAAGGTCCGCTCAGCGAGCTATGGAGAGGGCTATGCTCGGGGTTTCTCTGCGTGATAAACTTAGAAATGAGGATATCTGCAGCAGAACCAGAGTAACCGACATAGCCCAACAGATTAGTAAGCTGAAGTGGCAGTGGGCCGGCCATATAGCTCGAAGAACCGACAACCGATGGGGAAAAAAGGTTCTCGAGTGGCAGCCTCGTACCGATAGGCGAAGTGTAGGGCGACCCCCCACGAGATGGAGTGACGACCTTGTAAGACATGCAGGAAATCTATGGATGCAGGTGGCTCAGGACCGTGCTTTGTGGTATTCCTTGGGGGAGGCCTTTGTTCAGCAGTGGACTTATGAAAGGCTTTAATGGTGATGATGATGATGCAAATGATGTTATTTTGTCATTACAAACAGACACTTTAATTTTATTTATTTGTATAGATAGAGATATTGCTTGAGTTAAATGGCAGACATTAATGTTTTTTTAACAGTTTGAGTAATGTATAATTTTCTGCTCACATTGCTAATTTTATATCCAAGAATCTCTACATAGGTGATGGTATAAAAGCCTTCAGATGCATCACCGTTACACAGTTGAGATAGAACGCAGCCAAAATGGTTTCTGGATTCCGGAAAACTGTCGCTGTCCACTAAGCCATGTTGTCACTAGATGTTTAATTACCGTGATATGAATCTGACGGAACCGACAACCTATTTCGCCTTATCGTTGTTATCAAGTTTAAACAGTACGTGAGTTGATATAAGAAACAATTATCACAACGATTATGATTATTTAAACAGTGTAATATGTAATATTTTTTTTTTTATAAAAATTAAAATGATAAACGAACTTTGAAGGTTACTAATTTAACTGGATCTCTATACGCTTTGGATTGGAACACAGCAGTGCTATTTGGGAGAGATGGTAGTACTTACACAGACAGTTTATACGTGGTTTGACCTCGTTGGTCTAGTGGTTATAGTAGTGCGACTGCTCATCATAAGATCTTAGGTTCGAATCCCGGGCAAAAAAAATCAGTTATTGAGCTTTTCCATCAAGAAATTCTCAGTAGCTGCCCGGAGTCACGAAGTTGACAGTGACTGATCTCTCTCCGGTTGTGTCGGTTTACTGTCCCATCGGACTATGAGAGTGAAGGAATAGAGAGTGCACCTATGCTTGCGCATACACTTGGACAATATAATCCTGTCCTGCGCCGATGACTAGTGTCCGTTGAGGCTGGCCGCCGTGACCGAAATTCGGTCTGGAGGACATTATTATTATTATACGTGGTAAAGCCACGCTGCAGCTATATTGTGGTTGTATCACAAATGGGTCGGCTCGACCGGATTAGGTTCACGCTCTCACAGAATACCAGCGTACAATAGCAGACTAATGCTGCTGTGTTTCGTATGGTGAGTGTAGAGAAGCGAATACCCTTTTTACTGGATACTAGGCATTCCATCTTATTCCTCAGGGGTGACAACGCATATGGATTTTGATTTTTAATTGAGCACAAATGTAGATGTTTATGGGCCACAGTATCCACTAACTATCAGGTGGACTGTGTGCTCGTTTGTCACCCTATTCTATAAAAAAAACGTACCTAAGTAGAAAAGAAGTCTTACCACGTAGTAAATAAATGTTAATTTTAACGAAGTAAAATTATTTTACTCCAATATCTAAATTACTACATAACATAGAATTCGATGGATTTCGTAGTTGATTTTTATAACTGAGAAATAAAATACTCTAAATTCCAATTACGTACATCGCGACAAATCTCATGATACCATCTATACCAACTGGATGCTTGACGGTCCACAACTGTGCGTTTTAGTAGGCGTTTTCCTCCTCGCACGACTTCTTCGTGGAATCGTTTACCAACGGCGATTTTCCGGACCAATACGATTTAGGGACCTTCAAAAAACGAGCTTATTCCTTTTAAAAGGCCAGCAACGCACCTGCAATTCCCCTGGTGTTGCAGTTGTTCATGGCGGGCGGTCGACACTTACCGTCAGGCGAGGCGCATACTCATTTATCCCTTTTATATTAAAAAAAAAACTTATCTAATTAGTAACAGTAAAGATTTTTTTGTTTGTACTAACGCTTTATTACTCTATGTCACGAAAAATAAACTGACTAAAGATCTGAATAATCCATTTTTAACATTAAGATCCTATCTTAATACTTTTGTAAAAATTAAAAAATTCAATTCAATTCAATTCGTTTATTTCACAATTTCTACATAATTTCTACATAGAAACGTTTTATGTAGGCCAATAAAGCTCCCCAGCACTGACTCTGGATATTCGGCTCTAATCGCAAAGATTCTGTTGCAGCTAGCCCTTACTCGTACGTACGAAAGATAATGAATATGCGCATAATTGCATAAAAGTCATCAACCCTTGCATCGGTAAAATTGAATATTGGTAAAATTAACTACAGAATTTTTTTTATAGGGGTGGGGGCAAACGAGCATGCGGCTCACCTGATGGTAAGTGACTACCGCCGCCCATTAACAACCGCAACACCAGGGGAACCAGGGGAATTGCAAATGCGTTGCCGGCCTTTTAAAAAGGAGTAGGCTCTTTTCTTGAAGGTCCCTAAGTCGTATCGGTCCGGAAAAATCGCTGATGGTAATCGATTCCACAAGGAAGTCGTGCGAGGAAGAAAAAATCTTCTAAATCGCACAGTGGTGGACCGGCAATCATCCAGATGGTGTGGAGGGAGTTGTGCCGCGATGTGCGTTCGTGAAATTTGGCGGCTGGGATTAATCCGAACAATTCCTCAGAGCACTCCCCGTGGTAGATGCGAAAGAAAATGCAAAGAGATGCAACATCTCTTCGCAGTGCCGTGCAGTTCAAATGGAAAGGACTCGGTCGTCGACGATTCGAGCCGCTCTGCGCTGGATGCGGTCAAGTGGAAGTAGCTGGCACTGGGCAGCCCCTGCCCAGAGATGGGAACAGTATTCCATCTGAGGCCGAACCTGCGCCTTGTAAAGTTGCAGGCGGTGTGCCGGCATGAAATACTGTCCCGCTCTGCTGAGCACGCCAAGCTTTTTAGAGGCCAATATGGCCTTCTCTTCCAAGTGACCACGAAACTGCACGTCACTCGATATGTCGACTCCGATGATTCCGATACTGGCTGAGGCAAGAAGGGGAGTGCCTTGAAACTGAGGAGATACGACAAAGGGGTTCTTTTTAGCGGTAAACGCGCAAACTTGTGTCTTCTGAGGATTAAACTGGACTAAATTTAGTCGCCCCCAATCCGAGACTCTGTTCAGCAAAGACTCGACTTCAGACACAAGTTTGTTCCGGTACTCAGCGACGTTTTCCCGAGAAATATTGGCACGGCCTGTGCATAAAACATCAGAATATTGGGTAAGAAGAACATGAAGCTTTTTAAAAATAGGTGGTCCATAGTGAGCTTTGTAGTTCGATTAAGGAAGTATTTTGGACTTATGAAAGATTATACCATGCTCGTTATAGTAATGTAATAGTAATTACATTAAAATATTTTCTTACTAAAGAAACAATAAATTCTGTTATGTATGTAAGATCGAATTCGGGTTGCTGGTGTACTGTAAAATTTATGGTGAGTGTTTAGTGGTGGAAGCCTAGGTTCAGCGACTATGTAGACTTTATGGGTTGAATAAGAAGAAGAAGAATATAGAAAACTACTTTTACGTGGTGGAGTCATGCTGCAGCTATATTAGTAGTATAGTTGTAGCACGAATGGGTCGGGTCGGCCACGGAAGGACCACGCTCTCACAGAATACCAGCGTAAAATAGCAGCTTAACGCTGCTGTGTTTCTTATGGTGAGTGTAGAGAACCGGAGACCCTTTTTACTGGAAAAGAGGCATACCATCTTCGTCCTCACTGGTGACAACGCATCTGCATTTTGATTCGTAGTCGAGGATAGATGTAGATAACTATGGGCCACTGCAACTACTTACAATCAGGTGAACTGTGTGCTCGTTTATCACCCTTATCCACACTTATACCCGAGATGCCACAGTTTTCGCAAAATTTAACATAAACAAACTAAAATTTTAACAGCAAGTTTAATACTATACTTAACATTTTCGTTAGCATACTTTCTGCGGGACTTCTTTATTGAATCTGACTCTAGTTATACCTGAAACTAATTTTAAACAACTGTGTGAATTGTGAACAGTATCAGTAACAGTAACTAAAGCAAATACATACTCGTACCTTGTTAGATTAAACATCGCTTTATATCTCAAAATTTTTTCAAATATAACTAAGTCTTCAAACGATTGAACAGATTTTTTTGAAACATACGAGTAGTTAAAAACATTTTCGATTGAGACAGCTTTCAAACAAAAAAAAACTTAATTAAAATCGGCCGTTGAGGAGCTATGGTGCCACAGACAGACATACAGATACACAGATACGCGTATAATAAACAGATACACACTACAAACTTATAAAATAACACACCTGCCTGTTTTCATTGGAGCTTAAAATTGATAACATTCTTTAGCCTCAATTGCTTTATTGAATCCACACCAAAATATAACAAATCTTAGCAGTGGATATTTATAATATTAATAATATGAAACTTTTTATTTTTAATTATTTATTCACAGATCACGAATATATATTTTACTGTTCAGTGTTTTAATTTTATTTTTATTAATTTAATCACTTTACTTATTATGATCACTTTCGTTCACCGCCGATTTATTATGAAGTTGGAATCAACTATTTTGATTAATTTTTTGAGCAATTAATATGTAGCTGCTCCGAATATGAAATTTCCCGGATCTTTTGGATCATCGGACATGAAATACTGATTCCACAAATCTTGAAACTCTGTCCAACTAACTGTAGACTTTCCTCCTGACATCACTTTGAAGGCTGAAACCGCATCTTCCTTTAAAAGGCCAAATGACTCGTAAACTGATGAAAATTCCTCGCTATCGATTGTACCATCTCCGCCAGCATCCTCTAACTCAAACATGAACTTGCAATATTGCTTTTGCCAATCAGAAGCTAGAGTAGGATTATTAGCATATGCCTCCCACATGGACAGCCATTCTTCTGCGGTTACCTTTCCATCTTTGTCTGCATCTGCTGCACTTTGTATACCATCCCAAATCTTCAACAAAGAGTCTAAAGTCTCTTTATATTTAACGTCACTAGATTTCCAACCTCGCAGCTTGCCAATATTTTCAGCTGCTAGCTCAAAATCTTTCCTCTCAACACTTCCACTTGAATCAGTGTCGAAGAAAATATTGAAAAGGTGCAAAAGTTTCTGTTTTCTGAATTGTGAAACCATCTTTTTGTTGGTATTTCTGAAACAGTTATGGCTAACGTCTGCAAGTGTCTGTTAATCTAAGTCATGGATGATATCCATTTGAAGCAGATAAAAATTAGATATCAAATTTTTAGTGATAATTGACTAAAATTTGCTAAGTTGTGCATTCAATAACAGTCGATTAGCAACTTTGGTTGATTAATATTACGGACTGATTTTTTTTTAATGAAAACTAATAGATAAATATTTTAAATTGTCTCATGTATACAAATGTGGACGCGGCTGTAGTCTAAACTCTCTAAATCATTAAATGTAATCATAGATTACTGTATATATACTAGAGATATGTAATCCGGATTCTAAATGAGAGTACTAACTAAATTAAAAATGCTTTTAAAGACGATTTTGTGGCGCAGTGGCTAAGCATTGAGTTGTAGCGCGAAGGGTCGCAGGTTCGAACTACGCACGGCAAAATTATTTCTATGACCGACAAATAATTTTTCTGGTTTTGGATGTTTGTCACGGTGCAATTTATATATGAAACTTGCCCCAAGATTGGGGATAAAAACCTAAATTGGGTCGGTAACGTTTTTTTAGAAAAAATCAAATTTTTAGTCAATGCATGTAATATAATAATTTTAGAGTCAATGTGATTTGTTTCATATTAAAATTTTCGGTTTTAGTTAGTATTTCTAATTAGCACATTTGATTTTGCACTCTATGACGTTTTAATTGAATCTAATTTTATCTGCACATACAAAATGTGTATGTTATACTTTAAAAATTATCTACAGAAAATGTATACAAGTACAAAATATCTTTAAGGCTACACCATATAAGTACCTCTTTTTGTTTCCGTTATGTCTCGGATAAATTGTCTAAGCCCAAGATTTTGCGAGAAAGATAATCTAAAATAAATTTTTCGATATCTAACCATTTACTACAATCCCACCTGCACGGCTAACATGGGCTGGGGACAAAAATTTTATCCCCCGATTAAATCCACTGACAGGAGATAAAATTATCTTGTCCTTATGTCAAAGCACGGCAACGGGGAGAAGTATATCCCCGTTTAACATAACGAGTAGACATATATCCCCGCTCTGTTGCATGGAGCCAAATGAAAGATAAAAAATTTGACATTTTTTACATTTAAAGGGGACAATTCTATCCTAGTTCATTGGACGTGGGTTTAAGTTTATATTCATACAAAAAAAATCTATCTAAGTATATCTCCCATTTTATCTACTGTGAATATTATATCCACCGGTGTGGCCATGCTCGAAGTGTGGATAAAACTAAGCGACGTGATAAACATTTTCTCCTTTCCCCGGGGATAAAATTGTCTCCTTGTCCTGTCAATGCTAGCCCTGCTGGTGGCAAATGGTCAGCCGCTGCGCTACCGACCTCGGCACCGGACGGAAATGCCAATTGGCATTAACACCTGTCTTACGCCAATTGGCAGGCTGATTAACGAGTATCAGATATCCCACATCTTTGATGCTGTTCCCCTTCGCTGGTCTCGAATATCTGGATATTTAAGCCTAAAGATGGTTACCCTCTCACCTATCGGGAGCCATAAGATCATTCTGGCATTTTCCATTGACGCTTCTTATGAAACTTATGGAACGTTATAAGATGATAGCTTTTCTTACTATCTCATACTCTATGTCATATAATTTATAGGCTTTGTCAAAAGGATTACAATGTTTACAGCAAAGGAGTGGAATAACTTACCGGTGTCTATCTTTCCGACAATAACAATTTAGGCGTCTTCAGGACAAGAGTAAATAGGCTTTTGTTACGCTACGACAGTACGTTACACTATCTAGGCTTCCTAAGCATTAAATAAATCCACAGCGGGCTACGGTTTCGAATCCCGCGCGAACAAGTGTTTGTATGGCCAACAAATAATAATTGTCTCATGTCTGGATATTTGTCCATATGCCATTTTTAAATGTAAAACACCTCCGCAATACAAGAGAAAATCCTAGTGTGTAGTATTTTTTCTATCGACTTCAAAAAGGAGACGGCACTCAATTCGACTGTGTTTTTTTTATGTGTTTCACCTCATAACTTTTTACTGGGTGAACCGATTTCGATGATTCTTTTTTTATTTAAAAGCTGGTGCTTCACGTGTGATACCATATAAAATTGATCAAGGTCTGGCCAATAGTTTTGAGTTACTCTTAATAATTTATATTGAAGTCGGTTGTACAAAATTTTTAATTTTAAATTATTTTTACAACATACAGCATAATATAAAAGTCTGATGAACTGTTGAGCATAGGTCTCTTTCAAAGGCTACTACTGCATTTGAGTTGATATTAGGAAGTTACTGCTACCCATCTCCTATTTTATTTTCCCTCTGTCGCCTTTTACGACACCAACGAGACAATATGTGGTGGTGAATATTCTTACACCACCAACTACACGGGTAATTACTTAAAAATACGTAAACTATAATAAATTTTAATTTGTTTGTCAAAAGCATATTAAGAAAGGACATTTTAAAATATTGACGTGATAGTTTAGATAGATAGACAGCTCCGTGGCGAAGTGGCTTAGCAATGAGTTGTTGCGCTGGGGACCGCGGGTTCGAACCCCGCACGGAACTAGTATATGTATGGCCTACAAATAATTGTTCCGGGTCTGGATGTTTGTCCTCGTGCAATTTATGTTTGTAAACTACCTCCACGACACAGGAGTAAATCCTAGTGTGGGGGTAACGTTTAAAAAAATAGTAGATCTAATTTAAAATTCTTACAATTTTAAACTTCCTACCAAACGTTGAATGAAACTAGTTTTACATATCTTTATTTTTATATATGAAAAATGAAAATGAAAAATGAAAATGTTTATTTGTCTCAAAACAGTTACATGAATTATAAATGAGACATCCCCAGTAAGTAATTGATAATACTTGTGTTGGGGCTATCTCGCTCTTTCCCTTAATTATTAACAATATTGAGACTATTATACAAAAGGTAAGTAAAGATAAATTTATGAAGAAAAAATAACAGTAAGTGACTTATAAAGTAATTATTAGCTCTTTGTGTAACTGTAGTTGTACGCCTGTGTGAAACTGTAGTGCATCTTGTTTTTAAACGTGCGTGCTTGCGTGCGTGTATGTGTGTGTGTGTGTGTGTGTGTGTGTGTGTGTGTGTGTGTGCGTGCGTTTATGTGTGTGAGTGTGTGTCTTCTTTGTAGTGCCGGTGTGTTCGAAGTGCATGTAATAGATTAAGCTCGGTGAGTACGTACATTATTGATAAGAAAGAAGAAAAAAAATTGCTTAACTAAGTCTTTCTAAAATTTGTTCAGTTTCTTCGTATGTTAAGGTTTTTAACCACTCAGTTATTACCTTTTTGCATACGTGTAGTACCTCATGGTGGAACTTTAATTTTACGTTTATTTTATTATAAATGTAGACTGATTGGGTTGCATACTGACGCCGTGCCGTATATATGACATCTACATCTATCCACAATAAAGAATCAAAATGCAGTTGAGTTGTCACCCGTGAGAACTAAGATCGAATGCCTCTTTTCCAGTAAAAAGGGTCTCCGGTTCTCTACACTCACCATACAAAACACAGCAGCGTTAAGCTGCTATTTTACGCTGGTAATCTGTGAGAGCGTAGTCCTTCCCCGGTCGAGCTGACCTATTCGTGCAACAACTATATCGTAACCTTAAAATCTTATCTCTATTAAGTTTACTTTTTTTTATTGCCGGTGTTTTGGGTGCTTTACAGCTGTGGTGTTTGACGTCCGTATGTCAACGTTAAAACAGAATACCCTTAGCTTTAAGTTATTATTTACGGTCCGATCTGTACAGAATAAGTTTACTGTATGTTAGTCTTTCAGTATGCTTCTTGCTAGTATGCTTGGGAATAGTTTTAATTCTATTAATTACATGATCTCAAGCAAATTGTACTAACCAGCTTCACTCTCTATTAAAATTGGGATTTTTTAAATTCCTATATATATATATATATCACCCTTGGTAGATATCGATAATCTTTCGCGAGTATTTGTGATCTATCAAATTTTATTTAATGGCGGTGACGTCTAGGATATGATCACAGACTACCTGTCTTACCAAATACTTTGATTTGAAAAGAAAACGGTAAGAAATAAATTTTGATAATTGAAATTTTCCAAGGCATGTTATAAAGGCGTAGCAGGCCTTTTTCAAATTTCATGTTATTTTATATAACTTTAACTGAATAATATATCAAAGTTATTGAAAGTGCTCAATATGCGTAGAAGATGCACTTGGAGTTGTATTATGGCTGCAATAGGAATAGTTCGGTTCTACCTTGAAGCGACACACGGAATACCAGCGTAAAATAGTAACATAATTAATATTACTGCGTTTTTTATGATGAGTACGCAGAACTGGAGACCCACTTTTGCATTTTGATTCGTGATCGAGAATAGACATAGGTTTCTATGGGCCATAACACCCACTAACCATCGAATGGACTGTGTGCTCGTTTGTCACCCTTATTCTATAAAAAAAAGCTTGTATGCATACAAAATGTGATTGACATATTATAAGTGATATCAAGTAAAAATAACATACGTAATTTAATAAAATTTATATTATAGATTACATCAAAATGATAAATATAAACTTAATTTTGATATCACTGAGAAATAATGAAAGTAATTCCAATTTCACGTTTCACATTTCACTTAAAATGGGTTCTCATACTAAATCCTCACAGATCTATGTATCGTTCTTTTAATCTATCTACTTAACCTGATTTTCCAACTAGAAGCTAGACTTTCCGAAGATGAAATTGCCCGGTGCGTTAGGATCTTCCGTAACGAAGTACTCCTTCCACAATTCTTGGAACTCTGGCCAGGTGATACTGGACTTGCCTTTTGCTAACTTCTGGAAAGCTAACACGGCGTCATCCTTGTTTAGGCCAAACGAAGCATAAACAGATGAGAACTCCTCACTGTCAATAGATCCATCACCAGTGGCGTCTTCTAGATTGAAAGTGAATTTGCAGTACTGATTTTGCCAGTCATGAGCAGATGACGGATTCTTCGCGTAAGCTTCCCACATGGACACCCATTCATCAGCGGTCACCTCGCCATCCTTATTTGAATCTGCTGCACTTTGTAAACCATCCCAGATCCTAAGTAATGAGTCCAAAGTCTCCTTGTACTTGGCATCACCTTCCTTCCATCCTCGTAGTTTCGAAATTGTCTGCGCCGCTAACTCGAAGTCTTTTTTCTCTATCGAACCGCTGCTGTTGGTGTCGAAGAACTGATTGAACAAGTGCAGTAGCTTCTTCTTTCTGAAGTCGGACACCATTTTGATTGCGATCTGTTGTATATTTGTTTACGTCTGTTCTCATTACCCCTTATATACTGCCTTCGTTTACTGCAAATGTTGATAATTATTATCAATTTATCGTTTTGCAAATTTATGTAGCGTGACTGAGATGACGTCTGTTACGTATCATATATCTGCATTGCAGTGAAAGTGAATACAGTACAAATCAATAAACAAATATACTCCATTCGACTAGCAACTTATTTTTGGATAGATGTTTAACTATTTAAAACAAGACTCATTGTAATACTGACTTGCCTTTGCATAAATTTAAAGCGTATGTAAAAAGCACTCTTATGACGAATGGGTGTTATTGTCATATTCCACCCGCCGTATTCACCAGACATTCCTCATTTCGACTATCACATTTTCCAATCGAGGGCTCATTACCTGACGGAGCAGCACTTCGTGTCTTACGAAGAAGCCGAAAATTGGGTGGATTCTTGTATCGCCTCAAAATATGAAGAATTTTTTTAACGCGGCATCCCTAGGTAATATACTAAGGTACTAGAAAGCGATGGGCATATAATTCGAAGAACACAACAACAACTGCCTTAAGGCATCAAGTTCGGCATATGTACGATTTTATTTTTTGTGCATAAAAGTTTAAATAAATAAAAGAAATAAATAACATACACTGTACCAATTTCTCTGAATAAAGGTTTAAAATTACAAATAAACCTTAAAAATTTAATTGAACACCTGTGTATATAAACAGTTTGTATATATTTATTAGGTGACATGGTAAGTAATGGTAAGATATGCAGGAAGTCGATGGATGCAGGTGACTCGTGACCGTGCTTTATGGAGGTCTATGTTAAGCATTGGACTTGTGAAGGGCTGTAATGATGATGATGATGATGATGATTAGGTGAATATATTATTCTATACAGATAGAAATGCGATGACACAATGAGCTTGTTAATTGCAATTTAAAGTACTGATATGCCACGTGCTCGGCGATGAATGTAAACATTGAGGAAATCAGCATGTCTGAAGACTAAAAAAAAATTAATTAAATTAAAAAAGACTATAAAATTTCTCTACTCACTTTCTGAGTACGAGAAGTCCACCAACACATCCGTTACCGATACAGCCTATTAAAGTCTACTGCTGATCATAGACCTCCCCCATAGATTGCCCCATAGAGGGGATATTTTCCATTGTTTGCAAATATGACAAGCGGGTCGGCAACCGCAGTTTTCAATCGACTTCAAAAAGGAGACGATACTCAATTCAACTGTATGTTTTTTTTTTCTTTTTTTATGTGTATTACCTCATAACTTTTTTCTGGGTGAACCGATTTCGATGATTCTTTTTTTATTAAAAAGCTGGTGCTTCTCATGTGGTCTCATATAAATTTATCAAGGTCTACCAATAGTTTTTGAGTTATTCTTAATACTTTATTTAAAAGTCGGTTATACAAAATTTTTAATTTTTAATTATCTTATTTTTAATCGTTATTAGGAGGACTTTGCTGTCCATCTCCTAATTTGTTTTCTTCTGTCACTTCTTACAATACCCACAAGATGATATGGGGCAATGGATATTATTACACCTCCACTACACGAAATATAAAATTTAGGCTACATGTCTAAAAATAAGAATTTTAATGTTTATTTTCTATAAAATCAAACTTTTATCTTATACTTCACGCCAAGTGCGGTGGTAAAAAAAAATATCGTACAAAAGAAATAATTTGCCGTGAAATATTTTATATTTTATATTTCATTACATTTGAAGGTATCAACTTGTACTGCGTGTGGACTGCGCTTGTTTTGTTTTAGAGTTCATTAAGTAAGTTTACACCTGCCACAATAGCTCATCGCGCTACAGATTGACTGACAGAGAATTACGATAGGCATTAAGGCCGCCTATTGTTACTGTTTACTTACTTACTTATCTTCACGCACAATCCCTGACGGGGTAGCCAGAGAGAACAGATCGCCAAGTGTCACGATCCTTACATATCTCTTTCGCTTCTTTCAGATTCATTATCTTCTTCATACATGCACGTCAAGGTATCCGAGTACTCTTGACCCTACCCTCTTCGAGCAATTTGCTCACATGGTCTTCGAAAGTTAGTCTCAGTCTACCTCGACACCTTTTAATATTAACTTTCGCGCTATATATTTTCTTCACCATTCGGTCTTCACTCATTCGCTCAACGTGCCCAAACCACCGAGGCACGCCCTCATCAATTTTTGTGATAAGGTCATCTTTCAAACCTGCCATATTGCGAATCTCTTCGTTTCGCTTTCGGTCGGCCATAGTAACGCCGCACATTTTACGAAGAGATCGCATCTCCACTGCATTCAACTTACTTTTATGCTTCTTCTGGCATACCCAGGTTTCGCTGCCATATAACAAAGTCGGTACCAACACTGCTTTATGTATTGCAAGGCGTGCACTCTTCGCTACGCTTTGCCTGTTGACTAACGCAGTCAGGGCACCATTGACTTTGTTCCCGGCAGCGACACGCCTGTCCACATCTAAATCACATCTTCCATCCCGGCTAAAAGCACTCCCCAAGTATACAATTTCATTTACCTGTTCTAGACATTCCTGATTTACCCATATTTCACACTTCGTTCTCTCTTCGTCCCTTTCAAATACCAGAACCTTAGTTTTATTAGCATTCAAACGGAGACCTTTAATTTCACATTCCTCTTTCATACACGTGACTAATGCCTGCAGTTCTGCCTCTGATGGTGCAATAAGCACTGCATCATCAGCATACAGCAGACAATTTACTTTTATGTCACCCAATTTCACACCCAAACAGCTATCTTTCAGCTTTTGTAAACAGCTGTCGAGATACAGTATGAACAGCCAGGAAGACATGACACAACCCTGCTTTACGCGCTTTTGGACGTTTAACATGGGTGACAGGTCATGTCCTACCCGCACACAGGCTTTACAGTCACAGTAAAGAGACTGCACAGCCCTTAGCAATTGACCATCCACACCATACCCCGGCAACAGTTCCCACATTTTCTTCCTTACAACCTTATCAAATGCTTTCTCAAGATCCACAAAAGCACAGAAAATCTTCTGGTTAACAGCCAGAAGCTTCTCCGTGATCATACGGAGAGAAAACATTTGATCCGTACATTCTCTTCCAGGTCTAAATCCGCATTGTGCCTCCCATAGAAATCTTTCCGATTTCTCTTGCATTCTACGTGTCAAAACCTTCGAGTAAACTTTACTTGCTAAACTGGTCAAGCTGATCGCCCGATAGCACCCGCAGTCAAAATGTGAACCTTTACCTTTATATAAAGGCACAATGACTGCGGATCGCCAATCATCCGGGACATCCCCCGTCCGCCAGCACAAATTGCACAGCAGATGAAAGCTGTCCCAGACGCGAGGCCCACCATACTTGACCATTTCAGCAGTAACTCTGTCTAGTCTCGCAGCCTTACCACATTTCGAACTTCGAATCGCACGTTCAATCTCTTTCATACTGATGACCTCAGTGTCATCGAGGTCCGGGTCTGGCGTGCCAGTCACGGCGTCATTCCCGGATCCCTCACTAAGATCATCACACGCATACATTTCTCTATAAAATTCGCTCCATCGCTGCATGACGTCCGATTTTTCTGAGAGGACGTCATTAGTTCTCGAAAGCACTTTGTTCATTCTTAAAACCGTCGCACCACTTCGGGTCCTTCCAACCTCTTTCCAGAAGAGTTTGGAGTTCTCCTTAAAGTTGTGCGACAACCTTTCATCCGCTTCCATTCTACACCTTTCACGCACTTCCTCAATCAATGCTTTCGTGTGAACTTTCTGCAGCTTATATCTTTCTTTCATCTTCTCTCTCATATCCTTATCATTACTAGAGGCCAAGTAGTCTAACCATGCTTTCTTCTTCTTCTTTACAGCTTCTTTCACTTCATCATTCCACCATGCATCTCTTCTTTTACTACTGCCTCTTTTTATTGTTCCACACACTTCTTCCGCTGCACTTACCATTCCATCCCTAAGGTTCTGCCATGTTCTTTCTACACATTCGTTTCTGCCATCGATGGTGTCAAGCTTTTCGGCTACCCTCGCATGATATTTGTCTCTAGTATCTGTATTACTGTTTAGGCCAAATAATTAACATTGTAAAAACTTACATTCAAAGGCGCTCGCCTCTGCGTGTCCTCCGATGGAATTTAGAGGTCACCGCCTGGGACAGTTGCGCACGCGCGTCGAATCGGGCGACCGCACCCTTTTCAGTATGACGGTTACGTGCGAAGCGGTCGGCCGCGTGACAAACGCCTCTTATTGATTGTCTTTTCGTGCTTTAAGTGACAAGAGGCCCTTTTGAGTTTTGGAACACTAAGAATGTGTGACCCGAGAGTAGATCGCTACGTGTTGGATATAGATTAATTGTGCGCGTACACCGGGGCGCGTAGAAGTCTAGAAAAATAATTGTCGCGCGACGGCCGGTAACAGTTACCTTAGTTGTAAGATGTTACAGTAAAGAATAAATTAAATGCCACACAGACTGCAATAACATTAGTTTATCTCTACGAGTAAACCGTAATACAGCAAGTAATACACTAGTAATCGGCGACAGAAATAGACAAGAGTTTTGTATCTACTCAGAGGAACTCCTACACAATAAAAATCTTACCACGTGGTAAAGAATGGGTTGTACCTATTTATCTCTCACATACTTCGAGAACAAATAATGATATCGACTCCATACTAAAAAAAATTTCAATTCGTAATTGCATATGGAACTTCGACGCGTAACTACATTATGTAACACCGTACTGTAGTTCATTTAAGAAAAAATGGAACTCACAATTTAGTTACCAAAGATGAAAGTGAGGATAGAGCGAATGATGAAAGAAGAATTAATAAAAGTGTGAAGTGTGAAGTGTTTTCTTTTAGAGTTCATTAAGTAAGTTTACACCTGTCACAATAGCTCATCACGCTACAGATTGACTGACAGAGAAATACGATAGGCATTAAGGCCGCCTATT